GAACTATCCCGAAGCCTGGGCATGTACACTTGTCCTCCAGATTTATAATTCAGGCCTGCAGAAGCCAAATTCTGCAGCAGGCCCTGAAAAGTAAGCCAACAAGAGGGAATTGATGCACACCAGTCTTGTGGCCAAGGATTAAGCATTGTAGGCCCCGCAGAGCTAATTAACAGTTCCTACAGTGCCTGTAAGGATGGATCCAATCCTAGTTAGCACTTGCCAAAGAATTCTTCATTTATATTTAATTCATAAAGACATGGCACTCCTTCTCTTGTGAGTGGTAACAGTCGATGCTGGGGCCTAACAGTTCTGGAGACTCCTACGTTTTATCAATTTTTCCAGGAGAAGTTTAAAATTTTTGAAAATACTGGGTTTATTACTGAGCTAATACCATTGCCACAGGCAAATGAGGTGTGTACCTTTTCAAATGTCCATGGCCTTGGTGAAGCTATAGAACAAAAACACTTCACACCACTCTGGTACCTCCAGGAAAAAAAATAACTTTTTTCTTTTAAATAACCACAAAATGGCACACCATACCATGTGGGCTGCTGGGCACTGGTGGACTGACCTGTCATAGGGCCAGTTTAGCATTTGAATGAAGCTTTCAACCATTCAGTGCAGGATTTCCACATTTTGCACTTCTGCATTGTCTTAAAGCAAACTGTAAAACTTTAACTTACCTATCAGTCTGCTGTTGCTCATTAAGTATTAACTCGTGTGTAAATCCTCACATGAGATAATGAAACACAATGTGACTCAAATGAGAAATGACATTTTAAGCTTCACTGCTTACTGCTTGTGCCTGTTCTCAGTTCATTAGTCTTAGAAACAGTGCAGATTTTCAGTTACTGTGGCCATCTCAGACAAAGAAGAAAAAGTGGCACCAGTACAACTATGGTGAATTTGCAGTGTATCTAAGGATGTGCAGACAGGTATTACTAGAAACCATAATTTCCATAATTCCGTTGTACATGTACAATGGCAATTAAGAGCTATTCTATTCTATTTGATTTTAAACTGAGATAACATTAAGAAAAGATACAAAGGTGAGTGGTATTGCTAGAATCTCCTGTCTTCTAAGTAGATTTGGATGGTTAAAAAAACCCCTCTAAATACAGTCCAGAAAATGTAACAATTCAAAGTAGCATTGGACTGTAATCGCTTTTCAAACACGTTAACCTGTAACTGCAGAAATGTCATTGATTCCTATTGTTGCATAACAGATTTTTTTCAAACGTGTGTAACCTACAAAAACTTTACTTGCATCAGCTGCTCAAGCGCGATCAACCACACAGTAATGACTTTAACTGATGAGCATGTGCAGATGCTTTCTGTAGGTTGGACTGTTAGCTAACGTAAAGATTTTAGAAACTCACCCCTCTGCTCAGCTCCGACTTCGACAAGACGCACTCAACGTCAGAGTTCAGCGAGGCTGGACACGTGACACGCAGCTAGAACTCCTGTTGGTTCGAGACCAGGAAGTTCACACGAAGGGGCAGGGTGCAATTTGAGAAGACTAGAAAGCAAGGGAGCACACCAACAAGGCTTTCTACTTTCAGACGTTTTTTTTCACCCTTTAAAAAATTAAAGATATTAAGCTTTGTACGAACTTTTTAAATTGTTAAAATAAGTTCTCTTTTGAGTGTCCTGTATAAGAAAGTACATTTGATACAAATATTTTATTTGTAAGGACCAAGAAAAAACCAATA